GCTGGGGATTGAGGAGGGAGTTGTTGATAGAACCACGGCTGAGGTGTTAAAGGTAGAGTTCCCAATCCTGAAGCCTACCAGGAAATTGGCCAGTCTGATGTGTGCGCACTGACCTCCAAAATGGCACAATTAGACCTTATCAATAACAACAACTTGCATTAATATAATGCCTTTAATGTAGTAAAGCATCCCAATGTGTTCTACGGGAGTAACTTTCTTTAGTGGTCTGCCTAAGGGCACCCCTGTGGTTGTGCACTTTTCCTCTTTACTTGCTCATAGGAGCCTCCCATTTTCAACTTCAAGTTGTGCGACAACATCATTCGTTTTTTTCCTAAAATTAATTAGAGCAGTATGTGCAGAAAGTGTATCCATTTTCTTTCTTAAAATAACAACATGCTTGAACAAAATCAGTGGAAAACGGTAAGTCATTTCGAGATTTAAAAGTTTCAAAATGGATTTATTTGTGACAATTCTAATTGTAAAAGTGACATCCCTCTCATGAAAACTATCCTAACTCTTAAAGTTCCCATCTGAACCACTTAACAAAGGGGTCAACCAATTTGCAAAACTAAATCTTCTGTATTTCTTAATAATACCCTCTGTTTAAGTGACCAATTTCAGAATTTCTAAGCCTCTCACCCTTCTCCTGTAACATACTGCTTTGAACAGATGAATTCAGATCTTACATCTTACAGTGGAGGGAAACAAATTTGCACTTATTCTAATGCTCAATGTGAAAATTGTTTTCACAACAACACAGCTGTAGCACTAACATAACTATAGAATATTTCTGTTTCATGTTCTTTGAGCCACATTGAGACTTCTGTGTGAGAAGGAACTAGTGAAAGAAATGCAGCAAAGATTCAGAAACCAATTCCAATGAAATCTGCTATTTAACTCAAACTATCAAGTAAGCAGAGAAAAAAGGTGTAAAATTTTATTTCTTTCTGTAGGAAAATTGAATGTTGGTAAAACTTTTGGACAATGTAGCAATAGTTTTGTAGTGGATGAATTCAGCAATGTTAAGGTGAGCAATTTGTGGGTCTGAAATCAGTTTTGCAGTTGCTGGAAAAGCTATAACTTTAGACAGTTATGGTCTGTAATTTGTTTCATTGGGGAAGAAATGTGTTTTAATTTCTAAATGCCTGAAAGCTAAAATTAGTGCAGGTCAAAGAGGATCTAGGTACTTAGAGCATCACACAGTTATAGAAAGTAATCAAAAAAGTTGAAGGGATTCTGACCTTTACTTCTAGACAACTAGAATACAAGGTGGTATAAGTTATGCTCCAATTATACAAAGCCCTGGTTAGACCACATCCGGATTTATTGAGAGCAGTATTTTTGCACTGCAACTTGGGAATGATGTATTGTCTATGGAGGGAGTGCAGCTTAATTGATCACAAATAACCCCTGAACTCCCAGAACTGAATTATAAGGAGAGATTGCACAAAGTTGTGTTGAAATTTACTGGAATTTAGGAGGTTGGAGAGTAGCTTAATCTACGTTTTCAAGATATTAAGAGGATCAGATGGGGTTAAAGTCTTTTTCAATATCCACAAATAGAGAGAAAGAAGCTCTTTCTGCAGATTGGCAAAGTCTAGGACTTGGGGGCACATTCTTGAAATTAAGACTGGTAATTCTTCCCCTGAAATCCTTGGGGTAGTCCAACCGTTTTCTGAAATAGTCAAAATTGATGTTCATGCAATATGCATGTGCTCTGATAATTCTGTATGTCACAGTGAAATAAATCACGAAATAGCCTCGGTTTAATTGAACAGTGTCTGTGCATTTTCATTAACTGTAGACTGGTTTTGTCTTCATGCAGATGTCATACTGTTTTAAATTTTAATGTTAAAGTAAAGTAGGAGCAGATATAGTGAAAGGGCTCGCCATAACCTTCCAGTCTTCCCTACATACAGGAAAGTTGGCAAGGGTTTGAAGATTGGCAAATATGCTATCCTTATACAAGAAATGCAGTGAGGACACTTCTAGCAATTACAGGCCAGTCAGTTTGGCAACAGTAGTTGCTGATGCTTTAGAAACAATAATCAGGAAAAAAAAATAATTTGCTGCAGAGGTTTGAGTCAGTTGAGAGCCAGCACAGATTTATAAGGGGCAGATCAAACATGATGAACTGTTTGATGCAGGGATTGCAGTAGATGTTGTTACCTGGCTTTTAACAAAATGTTCCACCAAGTACCACGTGGAGGGCATGTTAAGAAAATTAAATAACAGGGTCACTGTCAAGTTGGACAAAAGAATTGGCTTAAGGACTGAAAACAGTTATTTTTCAGACTGAAGGATAGTAGACAGTAATATTCCTCAAGGGTCAGTGCTGGGACCAGTATTTTTTTTGTTGATACATTCAAGTGATTTGGACACTAGAGTACAGAGTAAAGTCTCAAAATTTACTGAAGGTACCAGACATGCATGCCGTGAGAATCACGAGGATGATACTAATCGGCTGCAGTAAGATATCGATAGGCTACCAGAATGGGCAGACAAGTGGCAGGTGAGATTGAATACAGGGAAGTGTAAGGTAATATGCGTTGTCTCATCCTTTCACTTCTGCTAATGTAAACATAATGGCACAGCTCCAAAAATTACACAGAAAACAGAAGGATCTGAAGGGTACATGCATCAATCTTTGAAGGTCACAGGCCATTTCAGAGAGTGTTTAGCCAAGTATGTCTGATCTTAGAGGCATTGAGTACAAAAGCAGTGAAGTTATGCTGAAACTTTCTAAAGCACTGGGTAGAAAAGAAAACACAGAGTATGATGCCCTGATCAGGTCACCACACTACAGGAAGGATGGAAGGTCCTTTCAAGGGTACAGAGGAGATTAAATGAAATAGTTCCAAGGATAGAGCATTTGAACGACAAGGTTATGTTGGAGATGCTGATGTTACCGTCCTTGGAGGAAAGGAGATTTAGGGGACACACACCAGATTGCAACTGGTTTGGATAGAATAGATGAGGAAATACTGTTCCATTAATCAATGGGTAGCATGGTGGTGGTTAGCACTGCTGCCTCACAGCACCAGCGACCTGGGTTTGATTCCAACCTCTGGCGACTGTCTGTGTGGAGTTTGCAGACTCCCCCCATGTCTGCGTGGATTTCTTCTGCGTGCTCTGGATTCCTCCCTTAGCCCAAAGATGTGCAGATAGGTGGATTGGCCATGCTAAATTACTCCATAGTGTCCAGGGATGCATATGTTAGATGGATTAACCATGGGAAATGCAGGGTTACAGGGCTAGGGTAGGGGGGATGGGTCTGGGTAGGATGCTCCTCAACATCGGTGTGGATTCGATGGGCCCAATGGCCTACTTCCACACTGTAGGAATTCTATGACCTGGGACATAGTTTTGGGCAAAAATATGCAGGAAGAATGCGAGTAAGAACTTTTAAATGCAGCAAACGATAATGAACTTGAACCCACTGCCCATGGTGGGGAAGTAGAGGCAATCAGTGATTTCAAAAAGAAATTGAATGGGCGTTGGAATGAAGTAAACATGTCGAGCTACTGGGGGAGATCAGATTTCTCTAAGCCAGTTTGGACTCAGTGGGCTGAGTGGCATCCTACTGTGTCATAAAAAATGGAGGTTTAAGACTTTGCATAAAATATTTGTTACTGGGATGTGGGCAACACAGCACTCTTTGTTCCCATTCCTATTTGCATTCAGTTGGTAGCAATCAACTTTTCCCTTTAACTAATACAGCCCTTGTGTTGATCATCCCTACACAATGATGCTGGTGGGAAATTCCCGTTGTGAATGAGATGGTGATTGGGCACAACATGTGTTATGTAAGATTTGGTGTTGACATCTGGCCTGTTGAATATTATTGGCAGCAGTACAATATTGGGGAAGGCCTTTTGAGAGCTTATGCTTCAAGCTCCTCATCCCCAACTATAACACAAATTATATAATCTGTGATTGTTAGTCATTTTTCACCACAGGTATTGCTTGTTAATGTCCTGTTTTCTTGAAACCCTATTTATTGAATTGAACAAATGGTTAGTTTCATATCAACCTTTGACAAAGTACAATAAATATTTCTAATAGACATTATTGAAACTAAAAAGCTTGATTTTATAAGAACATAAATCATTAAATGAGAAAGCCCAACAATCTCACATCTCTTCACACCATCTAACCTCTAGCAGACAGTAGCACTTTGACGTGGCCATAGCAGCTGATGTTGTTAATGCATGCATACTAGAGCTGAATTTTTAGGCTATCTCCGTTGAGAGATCAAGTGGCACAATGTAAAAACATAATATTAAAGCAGTTTCAATTGGCCAACATTTTCTGAGCTGTTTGTGGCTCCAAATAAAAAATTGTTAACATTCAGTTAGTAATTAAGTTCAAATCAAGGTTGTGGGTCAAGGTGGCAAACATCACCAGAATGTATTTAGTCTGGAAGTTGCTCTCAATATAATGATAAAAAGTAATGAGCTGCAGAAGCACTTAAGTTGGAACTGTACTTGAGTTAAATGGCATGTTACAGAGTGTGTTTTCAACTAGGAAGGAAAGATTGAAATCTGAATCTATAGGTATAAGGTTGGAAAAGCACAGCAGGTCAGACAGCATCCGAGGAGCAGGTAAGTCAATGTTTCAGGCCGAAACCCTTTGTCAGGACCCTTTGTCCTTATTGCCTCCAAAAATTGAAATCATTGGCTTTTGTTACTTTCACAATTGGAGTAATGATTAGAATGAATATTTAAATGGAGGTTTTGTGGTTTTTTTTAGATAAAAAACAGCATACCAGTAGCAACTATTTATTGTGTAGGAATTAGTAGAGTTCTAAATTAATTTTTCACCAAATTTATAATTTTTGGAGATGTTTTCCCCTGGTTTTAAGTTTGCATTAATTTGGTTTGAGGTTAAGTATTGGCACGGTTTCATGACTGCAGTAATGAGTGGACAAGCAATTGATGTAATTTTAGAATATTGAATATCTAACATATTATGTCCTCCTCTCCCTGGTTCTTTTTCAGATAACAGTTCTGTGGATCAACAGGTTCTAAATTGCTGTGTTTCATCTTTCATAACATTTCATTTGAATTTTGTTACATTTTTACGTGGTTATCATAGTAAATATGTTCATTTCACATCCTATTTGTATCGCATGGAACCCACCTTTACAAATACATGTTATAATTTCTCTTATTTGTCATATGTTCAAAATATGATGCATTTGTAAACAGGACATTTATTACTAAGAATAAATTTCCACTAACATACTTTTTCATAATGTATTTCATGTTTAAGTGCAAGAGAAAAAAATGTTGAATTTTTCATTGAAACTGTACATGTATTATTTAGGACTCCATAATGCTTACAGTTTTTTATTTGTTCTTTATTAAAGGTTCAGCTATCAAGTGGTAATGTATTCGATGCATCTAGCCTTTCAAGCTTCAAGACCCCCGGAGGGTGAGCTAAATTTATATCCCATGTATTTCTAAAATTAAACTCACATCAGCAATGTTTTTTTGTGGAAAGACAATGGAACAACTAAACAAAATCACCCTTGACTCTTTGGTTTTTATATTTTGTTCTTGAATCATCTTTGCGCTCAGCTTTATCGACACACTAAACATATCCATTTTTACATTGCCAATGAATAAGGCAATGTTATCAAATCTACTGGTTGGATAATTTTGGAGGCATGTTAAAAGGATGAAGATGCAGCATCTATTTTCAGGATTTAATATTTTATTTGTTCAAAGTCTAGTTCATGGTTTGCATATTCCTGAAAGTGACTATTTGGAAATACTTGCTTGATCAGAGCATGCAATAATCATGCATATATGATGAAAAGAAAAGACAGACTATACTGCAAATATTGCATGGTTCAGGCAGAGAGAACCAGTGTTCAGGGTTTAATGGTCCCTGCTTGGGTCAGCCCACGAGTTGCAGAGCATCCTGCGGCAGCTCATTCACAAGCTTTCTCAGGAGAATTTAATCCAAACCAGGCACCTATCCCCCAATATCTGACTTCCTACTTCCCAAGGGGGAGTTTTCTCCTGGAACATCCTGGCGTGGGGAAAATGGTCCACCTCCAAGAGCTGCTAGCCCATCAGAGGCTGGCAAACCAATAGCGCCACCAGGAGTGGTCGCCATTTCTGGTATTGCTGTCAAAACAAAGACGACCTCATTAGACACTGAAACCCCAGGAGTCGGACAGGTTCATCTGGGCCAGATAGGGAATCATATTTCGACCATTTACTCTGCTTTATCCATATGTCATGGTACAAACAGGATTATCATTTTATTTATCACCAATTTCTATTGTTAAATCTAATCTGTAATGGTATGTCATATATAATCTAGTAAATACTTGTAGTTGTCCGGTTGCATTATAGTAGTAATCATTTACTTTTGAAAGGACAAGAATATTATACAGTGCTTCACACAATGCAGGAGTTTTCAGTTACTGTGGATCTGTGTATTCCTTTAAGGTAACAATCTAATAGTTAATCATATGTTTTACCCAGGTCAAGCTGAGTTTAATTGTTACTTGGTGAGGGAATTTTAACTGAAACATGTTTGAGCTTCAAGCTCAAGCTTAGAAGCAGAGAGCATTTTAAAGCTATTGGCAAACTTTAAACAACATATAGCAATGAGAACACAGGTTATTCAGTCATTTATCAGGAACTTTGAAAGTTGAAGTAAACTGCAGACTGCAGCTCAGAAGCTTTGTTTTGTCAAGTGCATTAGTTTGTTATATGGTATTTATGTGGAACTCCATTAACAAACATGTAGAGCTGGGCCCCGTATACCAGCCACTATGAAACAAAACCAGAAGTGATGCCACCCATCCCAACAGACTGAGACACGTAAATAGCAAGCAGGACAGAACACCGATACTTCACCAGAGGTGCACTGATGATGTTACCTAGCAGGGTGATGAAACGCTTGTGAACAAACTTACCAGCTCGGCGAGCAAGTCAACAACCGCATGTGTGTGTATATGACATATATGAAGCTCTTCTCTCTATAGATATCATTGACAGCTTTAGGAAACTTAATGGTCTAGGACTGGACTCATAATAAAGTGAATCAGTCACATTTGTTAATTATCAAATTTTATACAGTATCCTGATGGAGCTGGCTTGATTCAAGCTCCATCAATTCTCAATCTCAGGGATCTGAAATCAGAGCAAATAATTTTTAACTGTATGTTACTGTTTTCATTGTGTATGGACTTTACAGATAATTTTCAGAGGTGCAATCAAATGCTTTGACAAGTTACTTAACTCCGCTGGGAAGCTGTTGTAATTTTCAGTGGACTAGAGCTTAAGCTTGTTCAGTCCCCCTCTTCCTCGGAGTTATGAAAATAGCTTTGTAGCACCTGAGGTTGCAATAATGGGCTTTTTTTATCCATTCATGGGATGAGGGTTTTGTTGGCTACACCAGCATTTATTGCCTATCCCTAATTGCCCAGAGGGCAATTAAAGTGCATCACATTGCTGTGGGTCAGACGAAGCAAGGACAGCAGCTTGCTTCTCTAAAGGCCAGATGGGTTTTTCTCAACAGTCGACCATGGTCATCATTAATCTCTTAATTCCAGATTTTATTTTTAAACTTGAATTCACATTCCACCATCTGCCATGGTGGGATTCGATCCTGTGTCCCCAGAACGTTACCTGGGTCTCTGGATTAACAGTTCAGCAATAATACCACTAGGCCATCACGTCCCCGCTTCACACTGCTTGAGGCTTCTGTGCATCAAAATTAGGGGCTGAAAGATCAACAGCATGTGGGGTATTCTGATACATTGGGCTGAGAATTACAGAGGGTCAGATGACATACTCACACATTCACACTCTCATACTCACTCGCTCACACTCGGCTGGCTGAAAGGACACTTTGTGTTCATGACACTCTGGGGATGGTCTAACAAGCTCCAAGTGGACCTTCCACCCCTCACTGGGAGGATGTCCCATGCTGTGGGGCTCCTGCTGTCCTGGGAGCAACAGAGCTGCGTACTGGATGCTGCCAGGATAGCAGGAGCCCATTTATCCCAGCGAAGTGATGTCGGAGCCTTTGGAAGATGGCGGGGAGGGGTGGTGGTTTCAGTGCCTTTGGGAGGTAGGTTACGGATGGGGTGAGCAGGGGGTGTTTCGGCCTCTAGGCAGCTAGGAAGGAAGGGGGCGGCTACTAACCTCTCAGGGGCATTCTCTGAATATAGTCTCTCTGCCCATCCCTCCCCCCCACCATCGCCCTTGCCCTCTTGCTATTTTAAGCAGTTTTGTAAAATAACATGCTGCCACACTCTCCTGACTGCCCATGCCAACCATGTTATGATTATTTATGTACTTTTGGTGGGCTGCAATGTTGATTTTAGTGCCTGCCCATTCTCCGTGCTATGGGGGTGAGTTTGGGATTGGGTGCCATGATGATGGGTTATCTTTGGGAGATGTCTCCCCCATCCCTCACCCAAAACACATGCGGCACTGGCAATTAATGCCCAGTCCATTGCTGTTCAAGAAGACAATGCAAAATCTGCTTCCTAACATTCTGACAAAAAGACATTCTGTTTTTCTGCTTATTGTGGATGAGGTATCAAAAGTGAAGGCGTGAGAACTGAGGTGAACGCAGAAGTTGTTTCAAATTCAACAAACCTTGTTGTTGAAGTTGGAAATGAGCCATGCTGGAGGAAAAATGATGACCTCACGGAAGTTGTGGTGAGGAAAGTGGAGTGATCAGATCAGAAACAACAGAAATGAGGCAAGTAAAAACAGTGAGCTGAAATATGTGTGGTGGTTGTGTACAAGGTTGTCAGCCTGATAGAAATGGAGAGAAAGCCAGTCATCTGAGCACCATTTCCACAGTCTGAGCCTTGCCTCTGCTACCTATCTCCCAGTCTTCACTATTCCTGCTTATCTCTCATTCCAGTTCTTCCTGACCAACATTGGATTCTAGTTATCAGTCTTGGATTTGAAGTTCTTATTCTCATGTTTGTCTTTGACAAACTTTGTATCCTACCAGAGTCTGTAAACACCCCACTGCTCTAATCCCTGACCTGTGTGATCTCTCGTGCATCGTCTTATTGATTCTGCCCACAGTTGATCACTGTGTTCTCAAGTGTCAAAACTAACATTTGAGAATTTGCAATCTCACACCCTGTAGTGTCATGATTGAAATGTGTTCATAGAATCGTAGAATCCCTACAATGCATAAAGAGGCCATTTGGCCCATTGAATCAAGGAGCATCCCACCCGGACCCACCCCACCACCCTCTCCCTGTAACCTCACATTTACCATGGCTAACCCACTCAGCCTGCACATCCCTGAACACTGCGGGCAATTTAACATGGCCAACCCACCTAACCTGCACATGTTTGGACTGTGGGAGGAAACCGAAGTACCCAGAGGAAACCCACGCAGACATGGGGAGAATGTGCAAACTCCACACAGACAGTTGCCCGAGGGTGGAATCGAACCCAAGTCCCTGGCACTGTGAGGCAGCAGTGCTAACCACTGAACCACCGTGCCACCCTACTTGGTACTTCATCTAGTGTTAGATACACAGCACGTCCAAAGTCAAATGCGTGAACCTTCTCCATGCTGCTGCACAAATATCAACTTATTGTTTGTTTCGATGGATTTTCCAGACAATTCAATGTGTTATTTCAACCCTGTCCAACGTACTCCTCAGTGGAGGACGGCTATTATTATAAGGAAAAATAAAACCCAGAACAACTGGAGGGTGAAATTAGGTTCATTCAGAAGCCTGAAAATGAACATAGAAACATAGAATCCAACAGTGTGAAAGCAGGGCATTTAGCCCATTGAATACACCGATCCTCCGAAGAGCATCCCACCCAGACTCCCCTGTAACACTGCATTTTCCACGGTTAACCCACCTAACCTACACTGTACACTGTGGAGCAATGTTTAGCATGACCACTCCTCCTAACCTGCACATCTTTGGACTGTGGGAGGAAACAGGAGCACCCGGAGGAAACCCACGCAGACACGGGGAGAATGTGCAAACTCCACACAGACAGTTGCCCACGGGTAGAATCAAACCCGGGTCCCTGGCGCTGTGAGGCAGCAGTGCTAACCACTGAGCCACTATGATGCCCCTCTAGTTCTTAAAAATGGCGAGTGGGCGGTCGATTTCGATATTGAGCCACCTTCCACACGATGGAGTTCAGATCGATGGTGAGCTGGCCACCAAACAAATTTCATGTGCCTCCCTCACTCAAATCAGGTACAGCAGGAGGGTGTTTGAGGGGAAAACTAGTTGAATTAGTTAATTACGATTGTGATTTGAAAGGGACTTCATCATCCAGGAACCATGTTTCAAAAAAAAAGTTCAATATATAAGAGGAGTTCTGAATTGATTTTTCTTTGCTTCATCTATCTCTATTTATCTTTGAATCCTTTCATTTAAACAATGCTAGTTTCAAGGATGACAGCTC